CTGTGCGAACAGGCCTAATAATAATTTAGTCTACCCGTTTTTGACAAATCGGTAAAATATGAAATTTTTATATTATCTCGAAGAGTGCAGTGACTGACAAATGAAAATAAATTTATGTTTGAAAAGTTTGACATATTGGTAAACAACGTTGATGGTTGGATTATTGTCACAGTTTTTATTATTATTAAAATGGTTTTTCGCGAATTCAGCATCCATGAAAGGAGTGATATGCTTCAAGTAGGTGAACTTTATGAATAATAAAAGTGCGACCGCTGCTCGTACGTGAGTATATTAGACTTTATCCAGAGCGCCGAGCTCCTTCAAAACAGATATTTTCGAGGCTGTCAAAGAAATTTGCAGAAAACGGTAACATGCTGAAAGCTAAAAAAGGATGCAGGAATTATAGCGTTTTAAATGAAGAAAATAAGGCAAACATATTAGGATTCCTATGAAGCACATCCAGTTTCTTCTCTTACTAAGGTATATGAAGAGACATTTTATGGACTGATGAAAGTTCGTTCACTACAATAAAGGGTTATAATAGACAAAGTACGGGATATTGGTCCGTAAATAATCCTAGACAAATACACGAAATAAAAACCCAAGGGTCCAATCAATAATGGTATGGTGTGGTGTTATCGACCGACATATTTTGGGCCCGATATTTATAGATCAAAAGTTAAATCATTATCATCGTCTCTTAGAGCACCGGATAACACAATATATAGAAGATTTACCCCTAAATATATCAGCGCAGATTATATGGCAGCAAGACGGTGCCGCTCCTCACAATGTTTTGCAAGTCAAAATTTTTTTTAATAGGGATTATCCCAGGGGTTGGATAGGAAATGGTGGAACTATTGATTGGCCAATCAACAGTCCGGACTTGATTTAATGGATTTTTTCTTTTGGGTATACATAAAAAATCACGTGCACAGAACTCCTTGTAATAACGTCGTAGAACTCCGACAAAGGATTTCAGAGGCAATCGATCAGTTAAGAGATAATCCGTTAATGTTAATAAATGCAAGAAATCAAACAATTAGAGTGCGTATGAGAAATGTGTTCAGCAAAATGGCGGACACATACAGCAGTATTTAGGATAGTTTCGTTTAGTATTTCTTGTCATTATTTTGTAAGTTATTGTTTGCAGTTGGTCACTGCACTCTTCGAGATTATGTAATAATTTCATATTTTTGTCGATTTGTCAAAAACGAGTGGACCAAAATATAAAGTGTGTTATATCATTGTAATCGGAATAAGATATTCTATCAAACACACATATAATATACAGGGTGTTCCATTCAAAAAAATATAATGTAGGCTTACATGTCAGAAAATTAATAGTGTTGTTATTTTCGATGTGACTTGAAAAAAAACTTGGCTACTAACCCTATATTTTGATTTTTTTGTTTACCTTGATATATTTAAAAACAGCGAATTGAAATGTTATCAAGATAAATTGAACGCACGGTACAACGACTGAAGCAAAGAAACTTCAAAACTCAATGAAATTGTAGCTTGAATGAGTAAAAAAAAAGTATAACACTATCCCTCCATTTATTCTTATACAGGGTTATCCAACGAAAGTGCTTTTTACCTTATATACCTGTTAACTGAAGAGGTACAAAAAAATGTTAAATATTAAAGTTGTTGGGATTTTTATGAGGAATTAGGAGCATTTATTTTTAAAAAAAATTGCGGGTTTAGAAAATAGAGCAAGAAATTTAACATTTCTTGCCTAATTTAAATGGAACGACCCATTTTAGAATATGTTTTTGGATTCTACATTGAATTTGAGCCCTGATTTATGTTAGAAGTCCTATAGTAAAATGTAGAAATTTTGAAGATATCCCTTATCAATGATTTTTCAATATAAATTACGAAAAAAATGATATTTCATCCTTGGAAGCTGGTAAGAGTGGTAGGTTTCCGTCTAGTCTTGCTTATTACTATTGTGTTTAATTAATATATCGAAAATGTGCCCAATATTAGATCAAATACGCTAAATTTTGCTTTAATCCAGCCTCATCTGGTTCACCTTTTGCCAAGGTAAATTACGTAAAAGGTGGATCAGGTGAAGCTAGATTTGAGCAAAATTTTGCATATTTCATCTAATATTGGACACATTTTCAATATAATGATCATACACAATAGTAAAAAGCAAGACTAGACCGAAACTTGCCACTCTTACCAGCTTTCAACGATGAAATATATATAATTTTTTTCGTAATTTATATTGAAAAATCATTAATTAGCGATATCTCCAAAATTGCTGAATTTAATTATAGGACATGTAACACATATCAGGGCTAAAATTTAATGTAGGATCCAAAAACATATTCAAAAATGGGTTATTCCATTTAAATTAAGCAAGAAATGTTAAATTTTTTGCTCTATTTTCTAAACCCGCATTTTTTTAAAAATAAATGCTCCTAATTCCTCATAAAAATCCCAAGAGATTACTTTCCTGCTGTCACTTTTTTATTTGTTCATCAATATCAACGAAACTTGGTAGGCTTGATATTCTGATAAAACGCCATTTTTTTGCATCCACGACAAGTTTTCCTGACTTCCGGTTTTACCGAAGTTGCCGAAACTTTTGATTTTCAAATGGCACACCCTGTATGTTTTTTGTTTTTTGGATTCTACAGATCGTTTTACATCCTAGTGAACCACTTTCAAATCGAGTTTTGTCCAAATTTAGTTTTCAAATTAAATTTAGTAGAAAAAAAAACTACATAATAAATCAAAAATGTTTAAACGAAAATTATTAAAAGTATCGTGGTGTATTATATCGTTGGATTCGCCTTAAAATACTGCATTTAGTGATGTTATGAAAGTGATATCTTTCTATTCTAGTTTTTGAGCTAGGGCAAAAATACTAAAATAATGGAGTTTACAGCCCTCTATCAAAAAAGTTTACAAAGATAAAATTAAGTTTGTATTTTTCTGAAATTAAATAAAGTATGTAGTCATTTTAGGATGATCATGGCACTCTAGTTAAAAAATTTAAATTTAATTTAAAAACAAAATTTGGAAAAAACTCGATTCAAAAGTGGTGCATTAGGACGTGAAACGATCTGTAGAATCCGAAAAACAAAAAATATACAGGGTGTGCCATTTAAAAATCAAAAGTTTCGGTCATTTCCGGTGAAACCGGAAGTCAGGAAAACTTTTTATAAATGCATAAAAATGGCGTTTGGTTAGAATATCAACCCTACCAAGTTTCGTTGATATCGATAAACAAATAAAAAAATGGCAGCCGGAAAGTGATCTCGTGGGCACCCGGTATAAGGTAAAAAGCACTTTCGTTGGATAACCCTGTACACAAATGTACTTTTGAACAAATCAGATAATTTTGCATTCTTATTAGAAACCATCCGTGACACAAAGCCCAATTGCTTCAATACAAAACACGGAAATTCAACTTTACGTTCGAAATTGTGTATTAAAAGCAAAAAAACTAAACATTAGCATCGAATGAATCTCACAGGATGTACCAAACTCGATGGCCTATTCGAAGTATTCACATATTATATATAGAGAATGTAAGAGGGGAGCCATTCGAAATTGGAGTTACGAAAATGAGCGCAATGTCATTTTCAAAATATTTTTGACATTACCCATCGCCAGATATAATGGGTACCTGATATTAGCTGGTATTGAGACAATTGGTGAGCATAGTACAAACCATTCGTTTTCCAGATAATTTCAATAGGCCATCGAGTTTGGGGCTGTATATTAATTACGTCTAGAAGCAGGTTTTTCATAAAAAGCCTAGGCTTTCTCAAAATGACTATGCGAATTGAAAACTAATAATTTTTGCGTGGAGTTTTGCGCTAGACTGATTATGATTGTTCAAGAGACTCGTGTTGAATTTAACTTTCTTTGATAAACCATTAAATAGAATCGGGATACTAAATATTTTGATGCCAGCCGTACTAATATAGTTTTAGGTAAGAGAGGCTTCTGTTCACATTTCTGTTTATAAATAGTTTGATTTATGTTCTTCTATTTTGTTGTTTTACTAAACTCTAATTTACCTACATGACTCAAAAAAAAGGTTTTTTCATTTTACGCCCTAGTTTTTTGAAAAATAATCCTTATCTTTTTTTATCTGATTACTTTTCGTAAATGTAACGTAAATAATTATTATCTACAATAAACTATACAAATTCATTTTAGTGTTCTAGATAGAATACGCCTGAATAGCCAGTAGGCGTTTTATAAAACGGACGATTCAAAATTTGCCTACGACATGAACGTCATAAACATATCCAAATATCAACGACTAAAATAAACACAGCGAATGATACTAGAACTTTCAGATGATTCCAATGAACTATAACCAAGAACAGGAATGCGCACACATATTGCCGAACGTGAAGCCTAGTGCCGCTGCTGCGGAGGGTATGCCTATTTTTGTTGCACTCCTTACGAAAATTGATTTCAACACGTATTCCAATTAAATATAACGAAACTTTCCAAAACGTCATATGTCAGCGAGCAACAAAAAAGAACAACATTCCCCCTTGTGGCATCCGTCTTTGTTGGCTTCACTTTTTGGCGGCTATGGCAATTATCGTGCGCATTCCAGTTCTTGGTTATAGTTCATTGGATGATTCGGACCTTGACTTCACTTGCACTTTATTACGACAAAGTCAAAATATTCGATCCCATGTTTAGTTTTTTTCTTTATGGAAGCGCAAATTTGTCGTTCAACCAAAAAGTTTTTAAAATTGCAATAATTTAGCTAAAATAGACACTATTAATATATTTTCATTATTATACAAAAAATTTAACAAAAATATTACCAAAATGATCAAATAATTTATCACTGGACTGTGCTAAGAATCAGTTGTGGAGGAAAATGCGTCAAAAACATGGCAAAAGACCGTTAAAAAAATTATCATCAGCATAGAATGAACTAGACTACTATCCACAACTACACAATCAGAGATAGTCAGTTCCATTTTCTGGTCCAGTTGGGCACTTACCATAGTTACGTCATCTATCTTTGAGATACTTCTGACAAATATGTTGACACGAACGATAGCCGGGCCATCTGACGTTTGAGAAAAAAACGGAAATATTATTATTTTTGTATTGTGCGGAAGCTCGTTGGTAAGCAAATTTACCTTTTCATTATATTATGTTTTATCGCTTAAAACCTTTGACGAGATAAAATGTGTACAATATCGTCCCTATTATTTAATAATAACCTGATTGCATTGATTCACTTTGATTTAATAGTAACTGTTCTCGTACTTTAGAGCAAAAGTACTGGTCCTTCACTCATCTCTTCTAAAGACTGGTGAGCAAATCCATAATCCCCGACAAGCGAGACACGGTTCGAACCTATTCCTACCTCAGATAGAATCTAACTGAACATTTTGATATTCTCTTCCCAAATTCTGTTCAGATAAAATACCGTAGAGCCTCCGCAAAGTGGTTTTTCAAGAATCGCGGAAAAAATTGAATGATTCTTATGGCTAAAAGGCACCGGCACCAAAAATGTCTATAGAACCTATGAAAAATCTATTTGTGGTCTAGTCATTGAAACCTGAATACTGCAAGTTATAGCACACACGCAAAAAAAAAACAGGCAGTATAGAGGTTTAAATGGAGTACAAAGAAAAAAAAAATGACTACCGTCAAACCCCCAATAAAACAGCATTCTCAGCAATCAAACGCGACTAGTCTGCAAACTGCTACTCTACAAGCTAAAAGGGGTGGACGTATCTCCCCTTGCATGATACCCATATTTGCACAATCGCCTGGACTTTGCTTGCATAGTAGTGTTGGTATAGGATTATGTATATATTGTGGATATACCATTTTCAAAAGTGTCAGAATGTAATAGTGTTTTTGTTTTGTTTTTAAACTCATCTCGTAAAATCATTTTCGTATTTATATTTTTTTAAAAAATATAGTTAATCAAATATGATAAGAAGTAGGTGTAGATAGGATAGTCAGTAAAGTGGGAATATTAAATGATGTTGAATTACTCAATTAGATTGGTAAGCAATTAGATGTTGATATTTAGAAGCATCGATAGATAAAACTTTGTACTTTTATTCATCTGATGAGTTTTACGAAATAATTGAAACAACTAAGCTGTAGAAAAAGATTGAGCACCAACCAGTACCAACGCAATGCAAGCCTCAAAAATGCATATTTCAATGAGAAGGCTATTTAAATCATTAAATGAAGTTAATGATCATTGCATATTGAGTGATTGAAGTCATTTGAGCAAAAATCAAACTTACAACAATATTTAGGGGTTTATTGAATATAAATACATACTGTTAATTTTAATTTAATTGTCACTCATTTTCTGTATTTAATTTTACGAATTAAATTGGGCACCATTAATTACTATTGAGAGGTATTTAGGTATCAGCGTAAAAGTCTTTAGGTTTTTTTAACGGATAATATTCGTCGCTATTAGTTTTTTTTTATTAGTCATATTTTAGGATTTAATAAACCTAATTGCCTAGAAGGTCACTGCGAGAACTATCAAAAGATCAATATTTTAATAATTTTGAGTTTTTTTGAAATTTTGACCCCGACCACACGATTATCTACTGAACAGCAGTAGCGCAGGAAGAGGCTGCTTTAAAATGTTTGATTATTATAGGTGTGCAGGTTATATTAGCCCCAATCCCATTTTGGCTGAACATAGATGAATTGCAAAAAGTGGATCACTGAAATGATTCCCATAGATCGGCGCACAGTGTGATATTTTATGAATCTAGCTGGAAAAAAATATTTTGACGGCTTTTTTAATGAAATATGAGTTTTTTTGTCCATAGATGGGCGATTTTGATAAAACAAGATTGAGCATGCACCAAAATAATTTTGCCCCCCTTCCCATTTAATATTTTCCAGTGGGTAGCTTTAGTGGCTGGGGGGTTGAGAGGGGGAGGTAAATTTTGCATAAAAACTAATTCCGCTTCAAATTATAGTTGAGCTGTTTCAGGGATTTTTTCGAAAATTTTTCAACTCCGAGATAATGAGAGTGGTTAGTTTTAAAATGAACACCCTGTATATAGATAAAACGCACCTAACCGCAGCTAATTTTTTTTTCAACACATGGTCCAAAACATGAGGTTCTAAAAAAATATAGAATTATTGTGGTATTATGTAGTATTATTAATCAAAAATATTTTTAAAGTTACTAAATTGCAATTTTTAATACGTAAACTGCATGTACTTCTTTTCAATTTTTTTTCAGTTGAACTATCTTGCAGGGATATTTTTAAAAAAGAAAACTTACCATGTACATGTTAAAAAAGACTATTATCAATGCAGATTTACTGTGGAACTTAATACTTTTAAATACAACGCCTGCAAAATTTAGCTAAATAGACACTAAATATTGTGCATATTCTTACCGCCTTGACCGCCAGATAAGCTACGGCGAATTTTTAAATAATAATGTTAAATTTGAAAATAAACATGCGTTTTTAATTGGTCAATGGACATTACCTGAATTAATTTTAAAATAAATATAGGCCTGTGATAAAGTTGGGAAATAGAATTAATTCCACCTAATACGCCAAAATTTCACACTGTGCGGCGTAACGATTTTATCGTCAACAGATTCAAAGAAAAAGGCAAAGCGGAATGTGGAAATTAAAAATTACCAAGGAGTATCAATGCTGTCGAAGCGAGAAAAAATCTTGTTAGGATTCTCTCCAACCGACTTCTTCCTTTGGCCGAAACAACTCTACCCATAACACAGGTGGCTTTAGACCAAATCGATGTACGGTGGACACGATCCTGGAATCAAGACAAATACAAGGAAAATTGAAAGAGCAGAACGAAACCCAGTATATGGCATTCATAGACCTTGTCAATGCGTTTGACTCCGTTAATCCGGTAGCGCTTTCGGAAAAACTTATCATTGCATGGCTGTCCGACTAAACTTACCAACATACTTCGTTGCCAGCCTAAAAATATGACCGCCAGTATCCTCCGAAAGGTGATTAAAACTAAAAGGTAGGCAGTCCCCACCTTACTGGGTTACCTGATATGAAAATAGTTAATAGAATCACTACAGGGCGGAAGTGTCTGATCCCATTTATCGGTGGCTATCTCACAGCGTCTGATTCCACGTTAGTGACGGCGCATCTACTATGTCCCATGTGCTCGTACAGCCTCAATAGTATTGAAATCTCAACTCCCTGGGCCGAGGTTGTAGCGATATCAAAAACAGTAAGAGTGTTGTGCTGCCGCAACATTACCACGGTAGTCAACCATCCAAGGACCTTTTTTTTCAGTTATACATGTAAACCCCATACTTTGTGAGTGGCTTGCTTACATCAAGTCCTACAACTTTTCCTCTACGACTTTTCTCGGAAATGGCACGTATGCGCGCAGGCGACTCGCAAACATTTTAGGGGTATCGGACTCCCCCAATTTGCCATTATTTTTGTCGGCCAAGTTGATTTCCGTGATTTAGAAATAAAAATCAAACATTATTCGTGAAATTAGATTTTCATGTATCAAGAAACATAACCACGTCAGATCGACATTTTGGGGGTATCGGACTCCCCCAATTTGCGATTATTTTTGTCGGCCAAGTTGATTTCCGTGATTTAGACATAAAAATCAAACAGTATTCGTAAAATTAGATTTACCTACATGTATCAGGAAACATAGCTACGTCAGATCGACATGTTTGCGAGTCGCCTGCGCGCATACGTGCCATTTCATTTCCGAGAAAAGTCGTAGAGGAAAAGTTGTAGGACTTGATGTAAGCAAGCCACTCACAAAGTATGGGGTTTACATGTATAACTGAAAAAAAAGGTCCTTGGATGGTTGACTACGGTAAGAAACTTCAACCACAGGCGTCTCGTGAAGGACAGCTCAATGAGTCCAACTCAGCAAAGGATTGTGTAAATGTGTACTCCGAAAGCCTTTAGTGACATACTGAGATATGTGATCGTGACTATCGTATATTCGCTCAAAGAAAAAACACAAATAAAAAAAATAACACGAATTTAAAAGCTTTATTTTGTAGCTGGGTGAATAGATTTTGATAAAAAAACTATAAGTATAAAGTCCATTCCAAAATAATTCGTTGACTCTTCAAGTATCAATAAAATGTTGATGATACCCTCAACCACAAACTTCGACTACCTGTGAGCAGGTCCGGGTTGATTTTATTTATTATACCTGCCTAGGTGAGATGTACATGTAAATGTGGGTGAATGTTTTAGTTAAATTATTTAGTCTTTGTGCAGAACTAGAGCTGTTATATTGACAAAAAAAATGTGGCGTCCATGGGCAAATGATGGTAGTATTGCAACCGGAAGTGGTATTTAAAAAAAAAAAACATTTATCGCTAGATGCCAAGGAAATTGTGAGGAACGTTTATTTAACCCTTCTGCAGAGAGGCTATAATCATAATCAAAGTGTGAGTGAATCATCCGTTTTAACCAAAACTCCATTATCTACGGTTAAAGATATCGTAGCCAAACGCATCCAGCCAAGGAAGCAACGGTGTGACAGCGGCAAGTCAAGAAAGGTTGAAGAAGCGGATAAAGAGTTGATTCGTAGGAAAATTTATGATTTGTACAGTAAACAAATAATACCTACAATAGATTCTCTAAAAAAGGTACTTATAGAAGACGAAACTGATATATTATGTAGCAGAACAAGCCTTTGGAGAATTGTGAAAGCAATGGGTTTCAAATATCAAACCATTAATAAGAGGCAAGTGCTAATGGAATCCCAGCGATTACAAGCATGGCGTCGAGAATATTTAAGTTCCATAAAACAATATAGGGCAGAAAATCGTCCGATAATATATCTTGACGCAACATGGTTTGATACCCATGACACTCCCAAAAGAGGATGGAGCGACTCAACCTCCAAATGTCAAACCAAAGCACCCTCAAATAAAGGCCAGAGGATTACAATTTTGCATGCCGGATCAGAAAATGGTTTTGTTCCAAACTCTTTGCTGCTATCCGCAAAAAAAATAGCCAATTCATCATTAGATTATCATCAAGATACCGATGCAAAATTATTTGAAGAATGGTTTCAGAATCGCCTTCTTCCGAACATACCAGAAAACAGTATAATTGTGATGGACAACGCTAGTTACCACAGCCGTCAAAAAAATAAAGTGCCCAATGCAAGTAATACAAAAGTAGAACTTCAAAAATATATGATGGAAAATGATATGTATTTCGAAGAAAATTATACAAAGAAAGATCTTTTAAACGTTTTGAAATCATATAATGTTAAAAAAGAATATATTTGTGACGATCTTGCTAGCGCTTGTGGTCATACAGTTTTGCGTCTTCCTCCATATTATTGTATTTTCAATCCAATAGAACATATCTGGCATGAATTGAAGGCAATGGTTAGGAGAGGAAACACCTCTCCTACACTTAGTACTGCTGTAATAGATTTAATTAGAAAATGTGTAGATAATATTCCAGTTCAAAGCTGGAAAAATTCTGTCAATCACGTTATAAAAGTTGAAGAAACCTATAATTCAATAGGTATTAATGTTAAGCCATTAATAATTAGTTTAGGCATAGATGAAGATGACAGTGACAGTGAAACGGAACTAAATATAGATTAGGTTTGGTTGAATTGTGTATTGTATTATATTGTATTAGATATTAAGTTTTGGTAATTATTAAGATAGTATAAGATTATAACATAAATAAATAATATTATGAAACGCCTTTTTCGTTTTCATTATAATGGGCACAAAATCCGTACCTGTAAACCTTTGAGTGGGTATTAAGGAACCCGGTACCTACATAAAAGAACCTGGTACCTACACAATAGAGGCTAATAGCTATCTAATTTATGGTAGGGTTTTATAGCCGTGAAGTCAACGAAATATTTTGGAATGGACTTTACTAGTCCTAGCGGTACACTAAAAATTTCAAAACAAAACGGCATTTCGTGTTACAAGCAAGCCACTTGGCACAGTGTTGGGACCATACTGAACGATTTTTCCCATAGTGATTTTTGATTCGTCCCTTAGGGGGTGGTTTTTGGGGGGTGGGGGGGTAAACTATCCCCAAAATCAGAATGTTGCTATTAACGATGGATTTTGACTATCTAAGACTCGTTTTCGCACAATTTGGGGTCGCTGAAATCGAATTATGAGTTGTTTTCACTATCCGATGCGAAATTTTTCATATCTAGGGGAATTAATACATTTTTTGAACCAAAATGTGAAAAATTAAAAACAATACAATTATGGCGATGCTAGAGTCGATATTTACTAATTTGATGGTGCTGAATCGAAAAAGAATATCAAAATCTCATTTCGAGGAAAACTGAGGGGGCCAGACCCCCTGCAAAAACTTTTTTTTTTGAAAATTTTGAGTTTGATGTCGTTTTCGACTAATTCGGTATCGCTGAGCACGAATATTTGGTTGATTTTTGGAAGAAATTGGTTTTCCACTCGATGTGCAAGGGGCGGGGGGGGGGTGACTTTTATTGTAAGATATTAAGAAGCACAGCTACCTCCGCACTGCGGAAGACACACAGCAGAATTGAAGAAACCGTTGCAGACAAGTCGGTACACGTTTCAACTTCCTCCGACCTGTTTACTTTGAAGTTCAAACGGTGTTGCCGTGAACCTGCTGTGCGCTTTCGGACTCCGGCGGCAACCGTTACAGATAAGTTAGGTGTTCAGTGTTAGCGGCCCCAATCTCTTGGTTATTGATGAGTCACGAGTTGTGATGGAAGAAAGTGTTGCTCAAGAGCTCATGAGTGCTGAAGCTAAATGAACAGCCTTGGTAAAATCTTTTGTAGAGGACAGGCTTGTGAACAATACTATTTGGGAAAAAAAAGAAGAATCAAGGTGCACTCCTGCTCAAAACACTCAAATCTGACGTGCAGCTTTATTCGCAACTTTTCATTGTCTGCACTGCCCGGGACCTAAATTTGGAGAAATTTTTTGAGTTTGAAAACTAAAGCTGTCCTCCTTCTGTAAGCTTAAATAGTGTTATGGGAAGCGGAGTAAAGTATCACCTTGCGGACATATTGGAAACATTGATCAAACCTCTGGGCAATTCACCTCCTAATTCAAGTGACGCCTTGATCTTTGACGGCCCTGTGCTGGGTCACTCTGTCTGCCCCCCTGCCACTACTAACTCTTTCAAGGATTATGCAGCTTACTTAGCTAGCCACATTAAAAACCTTGCAAACAAGCTAGCGGTGCAGCGTGTAGACGTTGTCTGGGACATGTACTCGACATCCAGCTTGAAAGGGCGAAGAGCCGCGGAGTCGGACTTCGGCGCCAGGATCTCCCCACGAAAAGTAAAAATAAATACAAACAACAGTTTAAATTTTTCGCCTACTGCAATAAAAAAAAAACTTTTTTCTTTTCAGGAAAACTGCCCTTGAATTGGAAAGATTATTTGAGAAATGATGAAAATAAGACAGAGCTTTTTGCCTTCCTTCCGGTGGAGCTCTTGTCCCTTCTGCAAGACATTCGTATTGTTTCCAATGTGGGTTCAGAAATTAAGTCTTCTGTTTCCTTGGGCTCTCTTCTCCGTGACATCTCTCTTGAAGGCTTGGAGGAGGCCGATGGAAGAATTATTCTCCATTCAATGGACATTGCGTGTGGTAGTGCTCGACGAATTGTTATCCGCAGTAGTGACACGGACGTACTTGTGCTGGCGGTTTCCTTTTTTCATAAACTTCAAAAAAAAGGATTAAAGGAACTGTGGGTCTTATTTGGAGTGGGCAAGGATCGTCGCTACTTGGCTGCACACGATGTAGCATCTACCCTAGGAGAGAAAAAGGCTACGGCTCTCCGCTTCTTTCACTGTCTGACTAGGTGTGACCCTGTCAGCTATTTTGCATCACGTGGGAAGCGAACTGCCTTCTCTGCCTGGCTAACAGATGAAGAGACGGGCGCCTTCTATAAGCTGAGCCACCCGTCTGATCTTCCATTGCCCGATGATTTAATAAGTGCCGTCGAAAAGTTCATCGTTAGAATGTACGGTGTTAAAGACGAGGAAATTACGTCAGTGGTCGGTGCCCGTCAGTACATGTTTGCCACGTTAAGCCGTTCAGTTCAAGCTATCCCTCCTACTAAAGGCACCTTAGTGAAGCACATCCTGCGCGCTGCTTACCAGGCTGGACAGGTCTGGGGAAGGGCGGCCGACGGTACCAAAACTTCCTCTCCGGATCCGTGGGGCTGGTTTCTACAGGACGACAAGTGGGTCCCGGTATGGACCGACGACCCAGTTATTTGGGCAGAGTGCACGGCGCTGGACCGGTATGATTGCAAAACCAACTGCGGCACCCAGAGGTGCTAATGCCGTCGCCTGCGACTTCCCTGCACACCTGCATGAAGTCATGTGAAGGCTCCTGCTCAAACCAGACGTACGTTTGTAGAAATATTTTCTTTAGCGCAAGAAAAATAAGAACGAAAAAACCCTTGTAATACTAATTTCTTTCTTTTCTTACAGTGTAACCTTGCCTACAATTCCGGAAGAAACTCAAAGGATGTGGACGGTGATCTGCAGGGACAAGTTTAAGCACGGACTTCAAAATATTTATGCTTCGTTTTTTTTTTTCTCAAGAAATATACTGTATTTCAGTAATCTTATCCTGCTCGAAATCATTTCCTGAGTCCGTAATAGTTAATCTGCATTAGATTCGTGCTCGGCGATACCGAATTAGTCGAAAACGACATCAAACTCAAAATTTAAAAAAAAAAGTTTTTTAAAGGGGGTCTGGCCCTCTTAGTTTTTTTCGAAATCAGATTTTGATATATTTTTTTTTTGATTCAACACCATCAAATTAGTAGAAATCCACTCTAGAATTGCCATAATTATATTGTTTTTAATTTTTCACATTTTAGTTCAAAAAATGTATTATTTCCCCTAGATATAAAAAATTTCGCATCGGATAGTGAAAACAACTCAAAATTCGATCTCAGCGACCCCACATTGTGCGAAAACGAGTCTTAGATAGTCAAAATCGATCGTTAATCTGATTTTGGGGGTAGTTTACCCCCCACCCCCCAAAAACCACCACCTAAGGGATGAATCAAAAATCACTACGGGTAAAATCGTGGCTTTGCTTGTAACTCGAAATGCCGTTTTGTTTTGCGTACCGCTAGGACTATACCAATAGAATTATGTTATGCCTAATTAGATATAGGTACTTTGGAAAACCTGATCATTAATTGCCTCTATTATTGACTTTTAACAGAGGCATAAAAACATGTAAAAAATATTTTAAGAGTAAAATGTAAAATTTATCGATCGCCAATCCGGTTTCATCTGAATACAATATACCATAGTTATGCTGGTAAAAAATCGTTAAATAATTTTGGAAAGTTTTAGTCTCGTTAAAATAATTAATTTGGGAAGGCTAAATCCCGAAGTTTGGTGACAAAACCGTTTTGATTTCGTTCGTTATATATCCAGAAAACTTCATTAACACAAAGGCCGTGCCAATCAAACTTTGCAAAATGAGTTTAAACTTGATTGTTTCTAAATGCGTGTAACAGCAGCAAAAGCTCTATTAAAATGCTTTTGAGTAAAGCCTTTGAAGTGTGAAATGCATTGAAAAACGGACAAAAAAATATCCTTTGCTGTAAGCTCATGTTCTGCAAAGTATAGTAACGGTAGTAAAATGGATTAAGAAAAGATTGCATTCCAGAATTTGCACCAGGAAATCCAAAGAGTTAATTTTAATGGATCCAAAAAATTGAGCAATTAGCTAAAGGGCACCAGTGGGACGAACAAACAATGGTATTTAAAATGCAAAGCCATCTTATTGGATTGGTACAAAAATGGTCTTTCTGCCAAAAAACCTAGGATGAATGGAAAGCTCTTTCACTGAAAACCTTCCCAGAACACCGCGATTTTGCATCGCTACTTAGAAGCCTGGGAAATAGGTTTAAATTGCCGACTGAAACATCAGAGCAACAGCAAAATGTGTACGCCCCGCTGAGTTATATCAAGGATATCCGAGGGCCATTTTCCGAATAATTGTACGAAACCCAGAACCAAATCTATTTTTTGTGAGCGTTTGGGTCATTTGGCAAAAGATTGATGACAGAGATACGTCCAATATCAAGTTGTTGAACCAGAAGGACTAATTGATCTTAACAAAAATCATTTTTTTGACTGCCTCACAAATGGCAAACCTTCTAAGTCGTATGTAGACTCGGGGTGTGGAGCGGCTCTGATAAGAAAAGCAGACTCTAAATCATTAAACACAGAGTTTGCTCTCTGCAATAATTTGAGTATATCTGGGTAGGGCGGCTCAGAAGTCAATACTCCAGGAGAAGCAGACGTTTCGATCAAAATTGATCTGATTGAAAGTAGATTCAGAGCGTTGATCGCTCAGGAAGCGGTGATGATTGAACAGACCTTTCTTAATAAGCCCAGGAGTTCTTACGATAATCTCCGATCGAAAGGCAAGGATATTGTCCGCTGATGGTAACCTAAGCGATTTATTGAAGATGCCACAGAAGAAAGTTCCACTAATATTGGCAAAGACCATCACATTAATAACGCCAAGGACATCGGCTATGGCTGCCCTCACACTCGAGTTGTCATCTACGAGGGCGTGTACATTCGGGATGGACCACCTCGTGCCTGGGAACGAGCACTACCTAGACAAGTGCATTACTAAAGAGGAAGATGGTGATGTCACCATCGTCAACCTTTCTCAAACCGAAGTTCCGCAATTTAAAAAGCTATGGCCAGGCAGAATCATATCAGACAGAGAATCCTGTTAAACGAGCTAACTATTCGCAGAATACTGCAAAAATCTCAATAAACTTGTTCTCAACGCAACGGCCACTTCTAGAGCAAATGATCGAGTAGATCGTTACAGAATCTCGTCTTGTTTTCTAGCGTCTAAAGAGGAAAAGGAGCGATGAGATGAGATGGTCTCTAAGATTTGGTGGGGACTGAGTGGAAACTAAGTTGAAAATATTAACAGCACACTGAAAGTAACATTCATTTTTGGTTTTGTTTGACAAAATAATCGAGAAAATGGGGGGGTTGAGCGTCAAGTTGGTCCCGCCACAGCATATTAACAGCACACATCAGCACACAAAAAGTTACATTCATTTTTGCTTTTGTGGGATAACATAATTGGAAAAAATGGGAAAGCTGAGCTTCCAGGTGGCCCCCCTGAATTTTTTGTGAATAGCAACTCGGCGCAGTTCCTACTATGTATAAGCAGCACAGAGTACACTGGGAGCATAGTTAAGCACACGGAGCACAGGTAATCAGGACGAAAAATACAGAAAAGTTGAATAGGCGGGGCTTACTTGACAGATCTGTAAATCGATAGTTTTATTTGCTCTGCGCGTATTTTCTTACACATATAGTAAAGTGAAAATGTTGGGTTAATTTTGTTCGCTTTTCCATCCACAGACGCATTTCGATCTATCAGAGTTCATCAGTGTGGCTAGGAAAGCAAAGAAACCCAACTCAAGTTTAGTGCCTGCAGGCAAAGTAGAAGTAATATGAAGAGAGAGTTTTGATCGTGGCGCCATCTAAGACCAGGATTCAGCACTAAACAACACTTTTGCTGTAACAGTACTGACCGTCTAATAGGCCGACCAAAAATCAGTTTGTTGGGAAAATCCAAAATAAGTTTTCTCCTGTCTTATAGTATTACCGTATTACTTCTTCTATTACCTGCAGGGTTGGGTTTCTTTGCTTTCCTAGCCACACTGATGAGATCTGATAGATCGAAACGCGTCTGTGGATGGGAAAGCGAAGAAAATTAACCCAAAATTTTCACATCAGTGTATAATAGGAGAAAAGTTGTTTTCCCTATTTTGGGTTTTCCCAACAAACTAATTTTTGGTCGGCGTATTAGACGGTCAGTACTGTTACAGCAAAAGTGTTGTTTAGTGCTGAATCCTAGTCTTAGATGGAGCTACGATCAAAATTCTCTCTCCATATAGTAAAGTACATATTATTTTATATTTTAGGTAGGTATGCCTATCGCTATGAAAACATTATTTCTGAGCCATCTCTCCTAAACTGGAATCAGGAATATATTACTGGAAAACAGTTCCCCACATACCCGCAAAAAAGATAATCATCTACCTATATATAAATTGTTTTAATATGGACCAAGCGAACAACTTGAAATAGATTTTAAAAGTCTGCCTATTCCTTTCACAAAGTCACTTTTGATGGACCGAAAATTAATATTTTTAGGCCACTTGATTCATTTATTGCCTAATGCATTTGTTGATTCCCAAATTATTTGCGAAAAAATTACCACGCTCTACTTTCTCATGATCTTCGAACATTTTCAATTTAACCAATTTCCAACTTATATACTTTAAATTTTGTAAAAGATTAAATGACTTTAGGGAAAAAATAATAATTATGCCCAACATGCTTTATTCAATTTCAAGTGCAATTGATTTTTTTCCTATTTTTCCTATTATCAAAGAAAGAGTTTATATCGGAACAGTATTATGTCCCCACAAAATAGGATTGTTTGAACTTCGACAAACTATCCAGGAACGTTCAAATCCATGTAGGGATCGCTGAATCAATGTACCTAGCAAGAACATAATCGTATTTGAACATTCCGACGGTTGAAATAGTATATAAAATATCATCCCTTCAGATGGATTTTGGCGATAGTGTTATCTTGATACCATTAGTTTTACAGGGAGGTTTTAACCATCAGGCAAAAAAGTTGTTGCGTTAGCGGTCTTTGCTTCTTTTTTGTTAAATCAGTGAATTAATACTAGGTACTCACCAAAATTCGATGTTAAAGTAGGTAATTCTAAAGAAATTATTTCCTCTATGTCATGAAGGTATACTAATACAAATATAGAGATAATATTAAACCGTGTATGAGTGAAAAAATAGTGTAGCAAGCAACAGGCGATTATGCTTAATAATAGAGGGGATATATGCAAGGGCCCCATAATGGCCTGTTGTAGCAAATAAATGTGGAGCACCTCTAAGCTATCTACAAGAACGGGGTGGCCTCCACTTACCATCTTATTGTCGCTTATGGTTGTAATGCTTCGAACAAACAGGTTAACTCGGACAATCGCCGGTCCATCTACAGACATGAGGGGGTTTTACGTTTATTAACTCTGTAATCTCGACTAAGTCTTTAATTTGTAATTCCCAACGAATGCTCAAAAATATCCTTTTACCAAACGTTTGACACTGTACGGCAGAGAAAAATGGATTATTGATATTGGCGAAACGATCAAGGAACATTTTTATTTTATCACAAATTTCAACAACTAGTAGAGCTACCTGAGAAATAAAACCTTATAAGTATCGACTATCATGAATGCAACATTTGACTAAAGCTAATAATCTCAAACTAACCACAACGAACCGATACTCTAATTAAGATATATTTATGACAACAGTAGAATATTTTTTACTTATAGCGGCTGAGTGGTTGATAGGGTAACTGGGTTGTTGGTGATTTGTGGGGCTGGAGCGGAGATAGAGGCATTTGATGTGTAAGCTTGGGCTTTTTGAGTGTAGGTTGAGGCTGAGGTGAAATTTTGCTTGCATCAGCTCTGAAATCTTGGGTGTTCTGGGCAGGCATAGCTGTTGGGGCTTTTGTCCATTTTGGTAGTTCGAGTAGATATCATCGACTGCCTAGGAGAGTGCTGAAATTTTTATGTCGGATGCATTTCTGGTGCCTTTTTTAAGGGGTGGCTTGAACCTTTGCAGTTCCTTCCCTAATGGTGAAACTCGTATGCTCAAACTTCTTGTAGGTCCTTGTTCTTGTCCAGGCCTTCAATTGTTATGGTTTAAAAGTGATCTCCAGAAATGAATGCTTTTTGAGGAATCCTGTGATGTTTCTATGGTCAGGAGAGGTTCTGGGGCTCAGGGGTTCTGGGGCTCTATTCTATTTGACATCGTCGAGCCGATATTTAAGGAAATTGGAAACATTCTGTTTAATTTCAAAATTTATAATGGATTTCCCCGGGGATTTCATCCAAGTTACGGTTCAATCAACCTTATAGGCCACTTTACAGAACCTCGAGAAGATGCCCATAGTGTTTATACAGGTCTGGCAGGTCAACATCTTACGGGCCAAGTTTAATGCAATAGAATAAAATGCCTAGAAAAAGTCTAAGGTTAAATAGAGAACGAAAACGATTTCCCCTGTTTCACCTCCAGCATGGAGCGCTGGGAATGCTGGAGGTGGAACAGGGGAAATTGTTTCCGTTCTCTATTTAACCTTAGACTTTTTCTAGACATTTCATTCTATTGCATCCAAATTGGCCTGTAAGATGTTCACTCGCCAGACCGGTGTATACCTTTTAACTATTAATAATTTGTTTGGATTTTTAACTTAAATAGTTTATTTTTAATTTATTTAGGTCTGAAGACGGGAAAAATTACCAGTAGTGATGTAAATATTTCCGGAAATTTTTGAAAATTTTGTCTGAAGCCAATTTTTTAACACACACTTCGGGTTCAGGATTTTTTCAGACGCCATGCACGATTGGTTTTGTTTAAAAAAATTGGCTAAAGACGAAATTTTTCAAAATTTCCCTTAGGAAATATTTTATGTACGAGTTACCTAAACTTTGATAGGAACTTGCCCAAGTTCGGAGTCTATTTACTACGTCGTGTCAAATTTTTTCATTGATGGTGATTGTTTTGTTATTAATATTTCCCATTTAAATTGCGTTTGTCAAAAAATATACACTTTGACAGATTTATGACATCAATGCGTTTTAAATGGAAAAGCGGGCCTCAATGCCAAAAATTCCAATTCTGGAAATTGCCCCCGGGATATTTCCAAAAATTTCCACTTATTAATTTTGACAATTTATATGCAAAATTTGCAGTGTAATTTGCATAAGGGAAATTTCCCTAATAATTTATTATTCAGTTCCTCTATAGTTGTAACCCCAACATAATATATTAGTTCTTATGCATAAAACAATGGTTTAATTAGTTAAAGCTTTCTAAATTCCTTCCTTCTCCTATTTTCCATTAATTTATCATTATTTTACCCATTTTTAAACTCAAAATAAACAGACGCTGGAGAACGTGACAAAAGCCTAATGTTTCTTCAACCATTAGTTATGATCCTATACTTCATTTCCGTATTATTTATTCGTTGTTGACCCTTCCGAAAACTGAACCGAAAATGGCATCACGAGTTGGGGATAAAAATTGCAAACTGTAAAACCGTCACAAATTTATAGCAGCAATAAACTTGGAGAGAGAAACAAACATAGCGAACTGTAAAACGGCCTTGACACTATGGATAGTATTTCTGAAGAGTTTGGTAATGTTTCTAAGAAATATGAGAACCACTCTGGGCATCGTCTGGTAGTGGCTTGGATATTTAGTGGCGCTTACGGAGCTTTCTGTACTGTGGTTTGAGTTGGATTCTGAAAGGCACTATACAGCAGAGAATTATGGAGTCGGGAGAGACCTTTGGCTTGAAAATACTTTTGCTTGCGATCATCTATTCCCATAGACGTTGGGTTTTTTGGAGAACTTGTCTGACGACGAGAATTCTAGCATAAAAGTGGAGTTGGGACTGCTATAAAGAGAGGTCGCATCTGTTTCTGAAATGATGGAGTGATTCTGCGAACTGCTGATGCGGAGATCTTCTAGTAGTAGAGATCCCGGTACTAGTTGTGACGACTGTGGCTCTGTGTTTTGATGCGACCTCTAACATAGAGCACTGAAGAACTTTTGAACGATATAGCTAAAGCGTTGTGGGTAAAAGCACTGATAGCTATTTCGCTCTTCACTTATGCGAAATCTCAAAAATTGTTTTCCAAGTCACAGTGATTTTATGTGAGCCATTCAAAATAATCCTCACTAAATGTATCGGAAACGGTATAAGATATCGACATAGGCCTCTCTTGAAAACCATATTTGTACAGCAGTTAATGGTGTTTTTGATAATTTGAGCAAAATTTCACAAAGAGAAGGGAAAATTTCCACTGAACATAAAACAGCTTTGTGATATTTGGTAACGTTTATTTCCTCACCACATACCATCAGTGCGAAACATGTTAGTTTTTTTCAAAAGAAGAAAAATAAGTGAAAGTTGTTCTGAAAAATATTTATGTCTCCATAGGTACGACTTAGAAAGCAGCCTAATCTTCCAAAGTAAAATATGTAGGTTTTCGGGATAGATATAGATAAGTATAGTTTGTATTTTATTATTCCGAAAACAATAGTTTTATTCTTTAATAATTTTCGCGAGAACCTGTATTTTAATCTTGAATTCAGAATTATATTCCTTGATCTTTTTTTTACCAAATCAATTTGTCCATCTCTCGCTTATAGGTACACATATAAGAAGCACAACTGAACAATATACACAGCTAACTATTGGTGTTCGGTTTCGCTCTCTCGCTCGCTCATCGCAGCCCTAAGTGTGTTTGTAAAAAAAACTGAGTATCACTCACCTGTCCCGTTTACGCCGGAAGGTCGAATTCTGGCGTCATACCGTCCTGGACCTAGGATCTGATCCAGTACCTCTTTTTCCTTTTCTCTGAAGTTGATTTTTACATTGGACGTTGAACATCTAAAACAAAAATCACATCAGTTTATTGGAAAAAACAGGTTATCGAGTTTGGACCTAATATTTGAGATAAACTAGACTGCTCAACAGGAGTTAAAAATATGGATGTTTTCTGTGAAAAAAACAAAACATATTAGAGTCGGAATATTTTAGCATAATAGGCAATGAAATATGCAAACCAATCACAATTAAGAAAAACATCCTGAATGTGCGAATGACGTACGTTTTTGTTGTAACATTCTATAAATAAAGTCAACTAAAAAGAGAAAACTACTGTTACTTATTGCTCATTGCTCGACATCCTGAATATAGGGTTCCGTTTGACGTTCGCAATGCGTCATAGAAGAAATGAAACCTACACAAAAAGTTGAAGGTAGGTAAAAGTGTCTTCAAAAATTTGCAAAAATATTTATTAACAAGAAAACTACAGAGTGCTGTTCTGTTGCAATATTTTGAAAATCAGGAAAAATGAGCAAGCACGAAATGGTTTAAGCCCACGCACGTTGGCCACACTGCAAGGTTAGGTAATAAATATTCAATTATTCAGTCCCTTAAATTGAAGTAGATAGGTATTAAGTTTATTAATTTTCATAATAGATACGATGAAAATAAGGCGAGAGCATATTTTATTTATCGATTAGAAAGCAAGAGAATATTTTAATAAGCTGCTGTATGGAATTTGTTCGTGGAAAAAATTGTCAACTGGTAAAATATAGATACCTACCCTGTAAATACAATTAACAAAAATATGCAAGCTATGGTTTACCAATTTAGTAGGTCAGTGTTACTGGCCGAGTTCGTTTTTGTCATCTTTTTCGTCGATTTGCTCCGAAATTTTGACACGCACGTGATTTGTAAAACTGAAACTGTCTTATCCAGCCTGTCAAAATTTCGGAACAAACCGACGAAAAAGATGACAAAAACGAACTCGGCCACTGTTAACAGGCACCTATTTTTGACATCCCACAAATAGAAAAGATCGATGCACACAGCATCGGCATCCATTTGGATCTAGCTCCCATCAAGAACAACCAGGGAGAGTAGCGAACCGTCTTCAGTGGTACCTTACCACAGGGACTTTTCAGAAGGTCACACATAGGCCAGGGCAGTTAGCTGACAAAATGGCCTTTAGGAAATGTTTTTGCAAGCTGATTTTTTCACAGATGATAGTACCCATCAATAGAAATCCGTGGAAAAAAGTTATACTCTGTAAATAGTTATTTACCTAACAAGTGCGGAGAGTGGTTCTTTACCGCACGAGACGGCAGTTGCACGAACGACGCGAAACGGAGTTCGGGCAAGCTGTTGAGGGCGGTAAAGTCACCTTGGGTCGTAAGAGTGGATACTGGCAAGTGGCAATACACAAAGATGACACAGAGAAAACTGCCTTCAGTACCAGAAGCGGGTTATACCAGTTTAACGTGATACCTTTCGGATTGTGAAATGCTCCAGCTACGTTTGAGCGACTGATGCATCTTGTATATTTGCCTGGTATATTTAGATGATGTCATAATCATGGGAAGTTTGTTCCAAGAACATCTCAATAATCTGAAAGAAGTTTTTGACCGCTTCCGGAATGCCAACTAAAAACTCAATCCAAATAAATGTTTTCTATTTCAGAATAAAGTGGAATTTTCAGGTCATATGGTATTTGAAGATGGTATATAAGTTATGGAAGGAAAGATAGATCCTGTCAGGGATTGGTCAAAACCACGCGACAAACATGAGCTAAGCAGTTTTCTAGGATTATGTTCTTAATATCGAAGATTTGTGGAAGGATTCGCTAATATAGCTGCTCCGCCTCATCGGTTACCGGAAGATCAACATTCAATTGGACCCAAGCACGCGATTCCGCATTTAGAAAATTAAAATGAGCATTATGTACAAGCCCAGTGTTGTCCTATCCCGATCAAAAAAGCAGGTTGCTTTTGGACACAGATGCAAGCAACACCAGTATTCGAGCAGTACTGTCACAAATTCAAAATTCACAAGAACATGTCACCAGAAGAGAGTTTCTTGCCATAGTAAAAGCAGTCGACCATTTCCATAAGTAACTCTGCGGACGTAAGTTTCTAATTCGAACAGATCACGCAGCTCTAAAATGGCTTTTAGAAATGAAAACTCCTGGAGGACAGCTTGCTAAATGGATTGAGAAATAGCAGCAATACGATTTCCAAATTAAACATCGACCTGGAAACCTGCATAAAAATGCTGACGCTCTGTCTAGACGGACATGTAAAGAACACCGCAAGCATTGTCAAAGAATCAATATGCATGAGGAAAATACTGGTCCAGCTGAGAGAAGAACGGGTCGTATCGTTGATGATAAATGGACTACCAAACAAATGAGAGAAGATCAAGAGGCAGACCAGGACATCGGGCAAATTCTTTATCTTAAAGAAAAATTTGAATGTAGGCCAGAATGGAGAGAATTGTCGAACAAGAGTTTGATTTACAAAGCGTTGTGGGCTCAGAGGCACTCTCTGGCCGTAGAAAATGGTTTACTAAAAACGAAACGAAGAGCCAACTAGTCCAAAAGATCGAGTAGAAGATGTATTAAAGGGGGTATGACCCTAAAAAATGACTTAGGCTACTTAAATAAAGAAAAAAAAATCTAAAATCTCTCGTGAAAACCGCAGTCCTACATTCAAAATAGTCTCCGAGAAAATTCCTTGTGAAGATAAATTATGCAGAAACTTGTGATGTCACAACCGCCGAAATCGCAGTCTTCTGTTCGTTCAGTCGTCAGTGAACCGTACCTATACTTTGAGTGGTTGCAATTCGCTGTAATGAGATAATTGTATTTTGTTTTGGAAAATTCTTACACGTGTTAATACTGTGCCTGATAATCCAATCCACTGTGACGTCACAAACACCTAGTTGTGTTAAACCGCCCTGACTCGAAAACGGACCATCGTAGCAAGATGCGGTTTAAATATTTTTCTTAGATTTTTTTGCACTAAAACTTTCATTTTTGGGTCACACCCCCTTTAAAAGAAATACATGACGGAACTAGACGTAGCGATAGTGGTCAAAAACTCACTATCGATAGTTTCGATAGCGTTAACATCCAATATCGATACTATCGATAAACTGTCAGGTTAAAGATTATAAATAAATAGTAAAGAGTATGCTCGGAGTGGACTGGGAGTGGGTGCACACGGACTCCGGACTGCTTCGGGGTCATCCGTTTGGATCTGGTCATATGAATTTGCATTAGTAAATTAAATCGGAATGCCTGGTCCAGAAAAGTAATGAACTTTATTGGGATAAATGCACTATCGACTATCGATGGGGCCACTATCGATGTTTTCGATTGTTCCATATTTCTTGAAATATCGATACTATCGATAAACTATCGATAACATCGCTACCTCTAGACGGAACTTCAGGGGCAGATTTTGGAGTTAACAAGACTTTGGACAAAATTCAAGAACGTTTTTACTGGGTCCACTATCGTGAAGACGTTAAAAATTGGTGCCGAAAATGCGACATCTGTGCTATTAGTAAAGGTCCTAAGCTAAGATCTAAGGGGCCCATGAAACAGTATAACGTCGGTCTCCCATTTGAAAGAATAGCGATAGATGTAGCCGGACCGTTCCTTGAGTCAGAGCGTGGTAACAAATACATCTTGGTTATGGCCAGAAGTTCTCGCTTTTCCCAATCAAGAAGCCATCACTATTGCTCAGGTGCTAGTGGATGAAGTTTTTCAGTCGTCATGGTGTACCACTAGAGTTACATTCAGATCAGGGACGAAACCTCGAATCTGCCATCTTTAAGAAGATTTGTGAGATCATAGGAAGACAAGGCCAACATCATCTGTGAAAAAATCAGCTTGGTTGCAAAAACTTCTCCTATTTTTGCTAACTGCCCTGGCCTAATAGTCAAGTACGTCGATCGCCCCCTATAAAAGCCGAACCAACGCAGGGACCATGTTGCGAGTCTACCTGGTTGCCCTTTGGTAAGACTCGGTAAAATAAACGTGGTGAATAAACGCTTTATTTGTCGTGTGTGTTTCGCTGACGCCCCTCAACTGAACCCTATTTCCCGAAGCACATCCACTAGGCGCAAGCTCTATGTGACAATATTTACCTTGTAAAATTTGGGTATTCGCATCCGTTATTTTGTAATCTTAACCAAACTTGTACCTTGTTTTGATTTGTCAATGTTGATTCTGTTGTTTATGGTCAGGGTCACAGGATTTGAAATTTCAATGCTTTTTTATTATTTTTTGAACAAAAGTTTAACATAGCATAACCTATAATATTCAACCAACCCATTGTCAAAAATCTGCGCATACATATACAGTGAGGACATAAAGTCCGTCGCCCCCCCTCTAACTTTTGAACCGCTCGGTATATTGCAACGAAATTTTGAATGATGATATGTGACTAGATTCTCCATGTTTCGAAAATCAAATGACAGCTTCAGCTGTCAAAATGACAGCTAGGTGCAGTTTTGGAACGTTTTTTTAAATAGAAGGCGGTGACGAATGATACATTGTTTTAAAGGTTTCTTTATTCCTAATTTAATCCCTGATTCTGAGAACATTTGGTTTAGCGGTTTTCAAATGATGACGGAAAAACAAAGGCTTGTTTTGCTCATAAACACTCATGAAAAAAATATTTTGTTGCTTTTTTATTCATTAGTGTCTTTTTTTCAGTAATAAAAATGACGTCATGACATTGGTAACTTAAATAATGAATAAAAAAACCGATAAAAAAAAAATTAATTTTTTTTTTATGAGTATTTATGAGCAAAACAAGCCTTGGTTTTTTCGTCATCATTCGAAAACAGCTAAACCAAATGTTTTCAGAATCGGGGATTAAATTTAGAATAAAGAGACCTTCAAAACGATATATCATTCGACACTGCCTTCTATTTTAAAAAACGTTTCAAAACTGCGCCTAGCTGTCATTTTGACAGCTGAAGCTGTCATTTGTTTTCCAAAAAATGGAGAATCTAGTCACATATCATCATTCCAAATTTCGTTGCAATATACC